CCGGCGCCCCGGGGGCCGCCGACCGCCGCTTCCGGCCGCCCACCCACCTGCGCAGCGTGTCGCCCTGGGCCTACAGGTGAGTGCGCGCGGGCCCGGGCGGGAGGAGCCAGGTAGGTGGGGCTCCGGTCGGATGGGACCAGAGGGCAGGACGAGGCTGACAGTGGCTGGCCTCCCTTGGAAGAAACCTGCTCCCCTAGTTACCCCTCCACGATTTCAGAAGAAGCAATTCTTTCTTGAGCACCTATTCCAAACCAAGGGGTCCTGGTGGTGCTGTGGGTCAGGCGTTGGGCTGCTTACCTCAAGGTTGGTGGTTCAAACCCATTGGCGTCTCTACAGGAGTAAGATGAGGCTGTCTGCTCCCATAAAGATTCGCAGTTTCGCAGACTCACCATGAGGGAGAATGGGTTTGAGGATTTTTATTGTTTATTCCAAACCAGGTGCGTGGGTAAATCCACAAAGGACCACGCCCAGCAGCTATTTTTAATCAATTCTTCAGCAGCATTTTGTTGAGGATGTACGCCCTCTGCTCCTTTAGCCCTAGCCTGGGTCTGACGGAGAAACGGGCATAATTGGTAAACAAACACGAACGTGAACACGGGCAGACGTGGTGTGACACGAAACCTTGCCGGTGTGTGACATTTTAAAAGGAGAAAAGTAGTATTTTTGAGGCTTGAAATGACTTGCAAAGAATAGGCAAAGTTCCAAGATTTGCGTATGTTTCAGAAGAAGGGGGCAGCCTGCACAGGAGGATAGGGGTGTGAGGGGTGCGGGCAGCAGTGGGGCTGGGGTGCCCTCCCTGCCCTGCCTGACTGAAGAGTCCCTGCCATTCAGGCTTACAGCCTCCCCAAAGGCGTCCTGACTATAGATGAGCGGGAGTGGCCAGTTTATGGCTGGGATGTCGAGCAAAATGGTCAGAGAGATACCGCTCAGGGTGCGTATCTGGCTGGAGACCAGGCTAGAGAAGAACACAGGAGCTACATCAGAGCCTTATAAACGATGTTGCAAAGCTTGCTCCGTCTCCTGCAGGAGATCACATAGGCACTTTGGGTTTACGGGTTTAGGAAGGTGTCCCTGAGGAGAACTGGGTGGGAGGGGACCCTGGACAGAGTTCACTGGGGAAGGCCCTTAGGTTCTGAATTTAGGCAGTGGAGGAGAAGGGAAGTGTAAAGACCAGCTGGAAATATCTGGGTCTGAGAGAGAAGGAGGGGACAGGAAGCATGTAGTGAGTCAGAGCTTGAGTCCAGATGTGCAAAGAAATGTCAGCATTGGGTGTAGAATGAATCTGAGCTTCCCTGTGAGCCCCTCCGCTGGTTCATGGATAGTGGGCTTTACTCTTACTCAGCACCACATGGGAACTCAAGGCGACAGCTGCTGGCATGCTAAATCACTGTGTGGAAACCCAAGGCCTCTCAGAGCCCCCACCCCAGCCCTCATTGGAAGTTGGGGCGAGAAGCACCCCATCCTCCCTGCTCCCCTGGATGGTTAGGATCCTCAGGACATATATGTGGACCATTCACTCTTGTTGGCTTCATTCCCAAGATCCCAAAGGGTGGGCTATCATGGCACCCTTCTCTCTTCAACCTCATACTGTGACCTTGATAGTCTAACTAGGATTGGAGACCACAGGCTGGCTTCTCCAGTTGCATATTTCTGTAGCAAATCCTCATCATTCCTGCTGCCTGGACAAAAGAGACCCAAAACCAGGGTGCTTCAGATCTTCCTCCTCAGTAATATGCCTTGTGTTTCTGGCTTGGGTTGTTAATGATGGTATTTAAGCAATGAAACAGAGAATACAGAATGAGCAGCAGCAAGTTTGGGAGCAGGAAATAATAAATCCATTATTGGGCCTGGGTTGCAACATCCATTTGAAAATGCCTGGCTGGCCAGAGATGTAGTCCAAGAGCTCAGGACAGATGTCAGACTGAAATGCAACTTGGGAGTGACCAGCCTAAGAATTTTGTACACAGTGCGTCAGACTGCAAAGTTGTTTGAACTGCAAGGTCAGTGGTTCAAGCTCACCAGCTGCTCCTTGGAAACCCTATACAGGGTCACTATGGGTCAGCATCGACTTGACGGCACTTAACAACTTAACAACAGGTTACAGTGAAGGGCCATTGTTGGTTCAATGGTACAATTCTCTCCTTCAGTGGGAGCAACCCGGGTTTGATTCCTGGCTTTCATGTCCAACCATCATCTGTCTGTCAGTGGAGGCTTGTATGTTTCTAGGATGCTGAGAGTTTCCAGACTAAGACAGGCTGAGACAGAAAGGCCTCGTGATCTACTTCCAAGAATCAGCCAATGAAAACCCTACAGAGCATGGCAGTGCGATCCTCAACTAACCATGGGGATGGTGTAATGGTTTGATCCATCATGCCATGAGGTTATCTTGAGCTGGGGCCAACTTGACAGCAAGTAACAGGTTAAATTGGATTACATTTGCTCCTGGACTGAAACTGTATCTCTTCAGGAGCAAAAGGGACTGACAGGGAGAACAGCTGAAGGAAGGTCATAGAAAGCAGAACGCAGAGACTGATTCCTACCCATGTAGCCTTTGTGAGTTCTGGTGTGGCACTGTAGGATAAACCCTGGACTGATAACCACAAGGTTGGTGGTTCAAACCCACCAACTGCTCTTCAGAAACCATATACAGGGTTGCTATGAGTTGGAACCAACTCGAGGGCACTTAACAACGAGAAGTGCCGGGTGGTATAGTGGGTTACACGTTGGGCTGTTAACCAGCAATTTAGCAGTTCAAATTCACCAGCAGCTCTGTGGCAGAAAGATGAGGCTTCCCGCTCCTATAAAGATTTACAGACACAGAAGCCCTATATAGGGAAATTTTGAAGACGGCTACCTGGCCAGCCAACTGGAAGATAGCCAGCCAAAGAAAGGTGACCCAAGAGAATGCAGAAATTATAGAAAAAGATCCTTAATATCACATGCAAGTAAAATTTTACTGAAGATAATTCAAAAACAGTTGCAGCAGTACATTGACAAGTAGCTGCCAGAAATTCAAGTTGGATTCAGAAGAGAACTTGGAATGAGGGATACCATTGCTGACGTCAGATGGGTCTTGGCTGAAAGCAAAGCATGTGAACGTTATTGGCTACACAAAGGCATTCCCCTGTGTGGATCATAACAAGCTGAATAGCATCACAAAGAATGGGAATTCCAGAACAATTATTGTACTCATGAGGAACCTCTACACAGACCAAAAGGCAGTTATTCCAACGTAACAAGGGGCTACTAAATGGTTTAAAATCAGGAAAGATGTGTACCAGGGTTGTATCCTTTCACCATACTTATTCAGTCTGTATCTGAGCAAATAATCTGAGAAACTAGATTATATGAAGAAGAATGTGGCATCAGACTTGGAGGAAGACTCATTAACAACCTATGATATACAGATGACACAACCTTGCTTCTGTAAGTGATGAGGACTTGAAATACTTCTTGATGAAGACCAAAGACTACAGCCTTCAGAATAGATTGTACCTCAGTGTAAATAAAATGAAAATCCTCACAGCTGGACCAATACATAACATCATGATAGATGGAGAAAAGGTTGAAGTTGCCAAAGACTTCGTTTTGTTTGGATCCACTATCAACACTCATGGCATGGAAGCAGCAGTCAAGAAATCAAATTGGTTGCAAAAAGACCACTTGAAAATGTTTGAAGACTAAGGTGCACCTGACCCAAGTCATGGTGTTTTCAGTTGCCTCATGTGTATGTAGAAATTGAATAATGAATAAGGAAGACCATAATCTTTGCATTTGAATGATGGTGTTGGAGAAGAACATGGAAGGTACCATGGACTGCCAGAGGAACAAGCATGTGTGTCTTGGAAGAAGTACAGCCGGAATATTCCATAGAAACAAGGCTGGCGAGACTTTATTGCTCAGACTTTGGACACGTTGTTAGGAGGGACCAATCCCTGGAGAAGGCCATCATGCTTGGAAGGTAAAATGGAGGGTCAGGGAAAAAGAGGAAGACTTCCAACAAGATGGATTGATGCAGTGGCAGCCACAGTGGGCTCAAGCATGGCAATTGTGAGGATGGCACAGGACCAGGCAGGCAGTGTCTTGTTCTGCAATAGAGTCACTGTGAGTTGGAACTGACTAGATGGCTCATGACAGGAAGTGCCAGGATCAGAACCTACATCTCCATGAGGTGGCCCAAGCATCATACACAGGCTATTTCATGTCAGTTAGCAGCAGTGAGTAACTCAGCACTGCTCCTTACTGCTCGCAGCCTTGAAGCAGGACAGCCTCCAAGGAAGGGCCACTGGCAGGCCTCAGTGGCTGGACACAGAAGCTGCCTGTCTTTCCCTGCTGTAACCCTTAGCTCTTCAGCCTCTCACTTCCTCCCACCACCTCTTAAATAACTAGGAAGTTAGAACAAGTGATGCCCTCGAAGCGCAGGGCCTCTTCTGAGAAGCACACGTGTGTTAGAGGGTGGTACCGAGGACCGGCTCACCTGTGATGCTGCCAGAGTGGCCTCCAAGGTGGACTCTATTTAGGTGAAAACAGATGCCCCCCAGAAGGTCGGTGGGAAAATGGACTGCAAGGCAGAAAACGGACTGAGAAGCACACAAAGGATCCCATTTGGTGGATACTGTTGGTTTTCAAATGGTAATTTGAAATAAGGTGGCTTTCCTGATCTTGGCAGGAGAGATGGATTGTTCAACAATTGGTGCTGGGAAAATTGGATAGCCAGCTGGAAAAAAACAAAACAAAACAATTGGATCTCACTCCTGTAACAAAACAAATTCCAGATGATTCAAAGATCGAAATGTTAAAAACAAAACCAGAAAAACATGGGTAATTACGTTTACAACCTTGGAAGAGAGAACGTCATTACACGCCATTTCCTCTTGGGAAGATAAAAGAGTAAGAAAAATACAAAAGCTAACTGGGGAAAATATAGATTTCCAACCTATGTTGCAAAGGGCTCTCATTTCCTAAAGAGTTCCAACAAATCTAGAAGAAAAGGACCAAAGACCCAATGGAAAGATGAGCAAAGACCGTGGGCAGCTTCCAGGAAAGGAAATTCAAATGACTCAGACCCTTGAAACA